AGGCACTAGCATTCTAATCCCTATTGTACATTTGGGAAAACTAGAGTAGCTTGTCTGAGATCATAGTAATACAAGTGCAGACTCTGGATTTGAATCCTGGTCATGTTAAGGCCAGAAACTGGGTTCTTAACCATCCTGCTGCATTTCCATATGGAACGTTTTCCCTTCCTTTCCCTTTCATTCCCTTCCCTGGTCCTTTCCCTTTCCTTCTTTTCTTTTCTCCTTTCCTTCATTCCTTGACTCATGAGGTAAGAGATTTTCAGTAGTCCTTTTCTCCCCATATATCTCATATCACCAATTGGACAAGGATTAAATAAAACAATCAATTTTGTTTAAAAATATTTATTGAGATCCTACTGTTGTATTCAAGGCAGCCTGCTTACTATGCCATGGAACTTTATAGATAAATACCAAAGTCACAAAATTTATAGTCTTATGGTGGAGAAAACATATATATAATTATAGCTGGAATATAACAGTGAGTGGACTGTGATGGCATAATATAAACAGCAGTAAATGGTTGAATCAAGGAGGAAATACACTGAAGTGCAAGATCTGAGTTATTTTCACAGAATACTTAGATTAGGTTTGAAAGGAAGAGCAGTACTTTGTTTTTTTTTTTTTTTTTGTGAAGGGTTTTGTTTGTTTAATACATCTGAAAAGAATGCATATACAAAGAATTGAGACATGAGAAAGCATTGGTTGGTTCAACACTAATGAATCTATAAGAATTAGGATTCTGGGAAGGTGAAAAATATTATCTAAACATTTTAAAAATTGGAAACTTAAACCGAAACAAGCTGATAAAATCCCTATTAACACTTAATGAAGAGTCTTAAGACTCCTTCCAGGATTTTTATTAAACTAGAGAGCCTCAACTGGCTGCTCTAGTCTAGTTCCTCTTATGCAAAACAAAAATAAGGGGGTCCCCCTGACTGGTCCCCATGTTGTTAAGTGTCTCCCCACCCTATCCTACTCTCAGCTTCTTAACGAAGCAAACCTGCATCCGCACAGTCCCCAGGGATCTTCTTCTAGCACCGCCCCTCAAGTTTCCTCTATATACCAGATCTTCCACTGGGTTCTAGGAACACCATGTAACACACTACGCATTGCAAATCTATGCTAAGCACATAAGACAATGACTGACAGGGAAAAAAATAGTTTTAATTATGAACTCAATCCATTTGGTGTATTTCAAAAGGTGCAATACTTTTTTTCATTTATCCATGAAAGAAGTTAGAAATTAACTTCCCCAAAATCAGCAAATGGCAAACAAATTTCCTTGAAAGTCACAGTCACATATATAGTGCATCCTAGAAAAGAGGAGGGGCAAGACAGGCTCCACCCACTTCCACGAGTTTCCTCAAAGACTGCATCTACTCAGGGTGGAGAGAAAAGGCAACTTTCAAGAAGGAGTATGTTATGACATGAGGCGTTTACTGTACTCCTTCCCAAGAGCACCAGGTGGGGGACGTGTCTTCCAACACGAGGTCCAGGAAGTGGGATGTGGAGTCAGTCCGTCCTCCTCCCCTGAAGGGCTGTCCACTGGTTAATGAATTAAAAAAACAAGACTAAAAAACCCCACACACATTCCCCCCGCAAAAAAAAAGAAGAAAAAAAAACTAAACAAACCAAAACACTAAGATGTCCCAGATTACTTTCCAGAGTGGAACCAGGGAGCAACTCCAACAATTCAAATTAGTCTGTTACAGAGTCATCACAAAGCATGCCTTGCTTTAAAACAATGACAACAGAAATTTTTCTGGGAACAATAAAACATAAACTAGTACTGATCACTTTTCTGACAATACACAATTACTCAAAATTAACTAGTATTGGAGGGGGAAGGGGGGCCATACCTATGGGCCTTGTCTCACACGAGTGCATGTGGGCAGGTGCAGGGCATTTGTCATTATTGCAAAAATGAATTTTAATTTTTAATCTTTAGTTTGATTTAAACATTGCTTTTAGTACGATGCCGACACCAGCTGTGCAGAAAGGGCTCTGGAGAGTGTTCATAGCAGCACACACCTGCGGCTCTTCTTCGGTTCTGGAGGCTCCAGGGCAGCCAATATTGCTTCATCAAATACATTCTTTAGGCCTTTCTGTGTGAGCGCAGAACACTCCACATACTTGACAGCCTTCAGATCACGGGCCAGCTTTTCAGCCGTCTCTGGAGTGATAGGCTTCTGTTTGTTCTTGGCATGTTTCTCAATAGTAGAGGGGTCATCTCTGAGATCAATTTGGGTCCCGACAAGCAAGAAAGGAGTCTTTGGACAATGGTGAGTTATCTCAGGCACCCACTTTTCTTTCACATTTTCAAATGAGGATGGAGAAACCACTGAAAAACACACTAAAAATACATCTGTTTGTGGATAACTCAGCGGCCGTAATCTATCATAATCCTCTTGCCCTGCAGTATCAAAAAGTCCAAGAGTATATGGCTCTCCACCAATCATAACTGTGACTGCATAGTTGTCAAAAACAGTCGGCACATACTCAGATGGAAATTTGTTTGTTGTGTAGGAAATCAGGAGACATGTTTTACCAACAGCACCATCGCCCACAACAACGCACTTAATCGTCTGCATTGCTGAAATAGTTTTGTATCCACTTTAAGTATTCAAACTTGATGATGACCTCAGCTTCTCCACCGGGGCGTTGGCAGCACTGCCGGTTTTTTTTTTTTAACTTCTATTTAATAAATATAAATTTCTAAAGTGTACAATTTTTGGATTATAGTGGCTTTCCCCCCCCATAACTTCCCTCCCACCTACAACCTTCCCATCTCCCGCTCCCTCTCCCATCCCATTCACATCAAGATTCATTTTCCATTATCTTTAAATACAGAAGATCAATTTAGTATACACTAAGTAAAGATTTCAACAGTTTGCACCCACACAAAAACACCAAGTATAAAGTACTGTTTGAGTACTAGTTATACCATTAATTCACATAGTACAGCACATTAAGGGACAGAGATCCTACATGAGGAGTGCACAGTGACTCCCATTGTTGGTTTAACAATTGACACTCTTATTTATGGTGTCAGTAATCTCCGGAGGCTCCTGTCATGAGCTGCCAAGGCTATGGAAGGCTCTTGAGTTCTCCAACTCTGATCTTATTTAGACAAGGCCATAGTCAAAGCGGAAGTTCTCTCCTCCCTTCAGAGAAAGGTACCTTCTTCTTTGATGGCCCGTTCTTTCCAGTGGGTCTCACTCCCGGAGATCTTTCATTTAGGGTTGTTTTTTTTTTTTTTTTTTTTTTTTTCCCCCACAGTGTCTTGGTTTTCCATGCCTGAGAAACTCTCATGGGCTTTTTAGCCAGATCCGAATGCCTTAAGGGCTGATTCTGAGGCCAGAGTGCTGTTTAGGACATCTGCCATTCTATGAGTCTGCTGAGTATCTCACTTCCCATGTTGGATCGTTCTCTCCCTTTTTTATTCTATCAGTTAGTATTAGCAGACACTAGTCTTGTTTATGTGATCCCTTTGACTCTTAGACCTATCATTATGATCAATTGTGAACTGAAACTGATCACTTTGACTAGTGAGATGGCATTGGTACATGCCACCTTGATGGGATTGAATTGGAATCCCCTGGTATGTTTCTAACTCCACCATTTGGGGCAAGTCCAATTGAACAAGTGCTGAACTGTACATCTCTTTCCTCTCTTATTCCCACTCTTACATTTAAGAGGGATCACTTTTCAGTTAACTTTAAACACCTAAGAATAATTTTGTGTTAATTACAGAGTTCAACCAATAGTATTAAGTAGAACAAAAAAATACTAAAAGGAATAAAGTAGTAAGCTGTTCCTCGACAGTCAGGACAAGGGCTGATCAAGTCACTGTTTCTCATAGTGTCCATTTCACTTCAACAGGTTTCCTTTTAGGTGCTCGGTTAATTGTCACCAATCAGGGAGAACATATGATATTTGTCCCTTTGGGACTGGCTTAATTCACTCAACATGATGTTTTCCAGATTCCTTCATTTTGTTGCAAATGACCGGATTTCATTATTTTTACTGCTGTATCATATTCTATAGAGTACATATCGCATAACTTCTTTATCCAGTCTACTGTTGATGGGCATTTAGGTTGATTCCAGGTCTTAGCTATTGTGAATTGAGCTGCAATAAACATTAAGATGCAGACAGCTCTTTTATTTGTCAGTTTAATTTCCTTTGGGTAAATTCCAAGGAGAGGGATGGCTGGGTTGTATGGTAGGGCTATATTCAGGTTTCTGAGGAATCTCCAAATAGAAGAGCAGTACTTTGATATTTAGGGTTGCACAGAGAGGGAAGAGCATAGAGAAGTAACAATGGAACCCAAAGAAGCTGAGGCATGGCTCCAGATTGGTCTCCCAAATACCTAAGCTGGGAAGTAACCTACAAGGCATAATATATGGGCTAGAACAGCCCATCCATGAGAGAAAGTACAATGGTTACATAAAACCCAGGCTGCTGAAGCCAGGGAGGTTACAGGGAACCTTCTAAAGAAAGGTGCCTTCAAAATGATTGCACTTGGAGCAGAAGTTCCTTCTTCCCATCAAAGCCACCATAATCTACAAGCACCACCCTTGTGTATGGAAAGCAGAACCTCAGGGGCAAATAGATGGTAAATCACCTTGACCCAGAATTTCATAGGCTGACCCAAGGGCAACAGGCCTGTTGGCCAGCAAGATACATCGGTGCCATGTACCAGGTACAACAAGTGCATCTATATGGTATATAGTTGGCAGTTATTCTAATTGGTTGGGTTTTTGTCCTGACTTGTAGGGGTCCTGGTGGTATTGACTTTTAAATACTCTGGAAGAGGAACCGCCTTTCAGGGAATTACAATATCCTGATGAAAAGAAACCTTACGCGGTTAAATTTTATTATCTAGAAGTTTGTTATATATGCATTTGCCTAAGTTAACTGTTTCATAAACCACATGTAATTAATTTTATCAGTGCATATTTTACTTTTGCCAATAATTCTTTATGTTTTCTTTATAGAATCCCAACCTGAAGAACCACTTTGTGTTGTGAGGCTGCAGCAGGGGAGATATGGTATTTGATCATATAGGCCTTTAAAAAGTCCGGGATAACTCACAAGAATGTAACACAAGTGGCTCCTGATGGCATGTGGGGAAGGGTGGTATAGAAAGTGGAAGCCCAGAAGGTGGGGAAGGGACAGCTGTGTGACTTTTCATTTGTTACCTTTCAAATTTGTTAATTTTTGGCCCATGTTAATGTGATACTTCCTTGAAAAAATAAGCAAATGAACCACTAAGTGCTCTTCAAATAATGCTAACCCTATTTTTGAAAATGCAGAGACTATTTTGAGAAAGAGAACATTTGAGAAATTGATCACAGCGTCCCATCCAGGGAGAAACAGGGTCTCCAGGAGAGGCTTACTTTTTATTCAGTCACCTGTTTAAAGGTTTGAATTCTGTGCCTTGTGCATATATTATCTGTTCATGGAAAGATGACATTAACATTAAACTATATTGACCTTTCTGATGACTACAGTGAATGGTCAGCAGTGGAAGCATCATGCAAGATACATCCTAGCCCTTAGCAAAGCCTTGTATTCATCTTGCAAAGCTCCCTCTGGCCTGAAGATACGAGAGATCTTCAAAAGCCCATGGAAAATGGGTATTATAAAAAGTGTGTAGATTTCAAAATTTCTTTACCCAAAGTTATCTTTTAATTTTGTTTTCCACAAACTTTTTGAAGCATCATGTACAGGGCTTCCTCTGAACAACTGATGTTCAAACCCCTCATTATCTGAACTTCACTTAATTTAGAAATAATTTCCAGGCCGGCGCCACGGCTCAATAGACTAATCCTCCGCCTAGTGGTGCCGGCACACCGGGTTCTAGTCCCGGTCGGGGCGCCGGATTCTGTCCTGGTTGCCCCTCTTCCAGGCCAGCTCTCTGCTGTGGCCAGGGAGTGCAGTGGAGGATGGCCCAAGTGCTTGGGCCCTGCACCCCATGGGAGACCAGGAGAAGCACCTGGCTCCTGCCTTCAGATCAGCGCATTGCGTCGGCCGCAGCACGCCGGCCGTGGCAGCCATTGGAGGGTGAACCAACGGCAAAGGAAGACCTTTCTCTCTGTCTCTCTCTCTCTCACTGTCCACTCTGCCTGTAAAAAAAAAAAAAAAAAGAAATAATTTCCTACCTGTTTTCCTAGGAGGGATCACATATTAACTTTTAGTGACCATTTATAATCTAGTAGACATTTAATTGTTACAATGCGAAAATTCCAAGGAAAAGAAAAAGGAACCCCCCCCCCTTAACTGCACCCCACCTCCTGAGTGTTGGGTTGAAGGGAGAAAAAAAGGTCTTAGAAAAGGGGAAATCGCATTCTTTTGCATCTCAGTTTCCTAGGTTTCTCTTCATCCTCACATGAACATATACAAGCATTCATGTGAAACTGTTCATCCAATCCTTTCAGGATAGGGCTTAAAGCAGGATGGAGGGGACAGGGGTCATTGAGCCCCCTGAGTGGGGAAGGAGCCATTAAGAGGGACAAAGTACTAAAGAGGAGAGAAATTACCCTGGGCCAGGTCAGTGGTATTGTCCTCAGAACTGTGTAATCAGAAAACAGATGCACCCAATCCTTCAGAAAACAGTGCAAGGAGATTCTGTGGGTGTTGTGCAGAGTCACTGGGTGAAGTTATTAACAGGTGGGGAAAAGGGTGGAGAAAGAGCACACACCCCGAACATCTCTTATAAACCAGCTCCCAGCCTAGGAGCAAGGAAGTAACTGTCTACAAATTAGTAATAATCAATGTGGCGCTGGAACCACCTTGAAGTTGACATTCATCTGAGTATCTCAGAATAAAATAGGTCTTTCTGAAATACTAGATGATCTTATTGTTTAGTTCAGGAACTGAAGAATTTAGTTAGAAATGGTGAATTCTTTTAAAGGCTGACTTCCTAACTGGCCGAAGAGTGTACACTTTCAATAAGATGTACTGGGATTCTCTTTAAGTGACCTAATTTTACTCTGGGTAATAATGAGGGAAAGTGTAAAACACAAGCATAGATTGGGTGATCTGAAAATTTTTCCTTCTATTCATCTGCAAATGTGCTCTAATTCCTACTAAATCAAATGTATTATCCTTCAATTACAGCATCTCCTGTCATATGGCCCTGAATTTACTCAGTCCCATATTCCACGACTTCATGGTAAGTAACCCCAGCTCCAGTCTTAAAAACTAAAAGCACACTTAGCACTGTTTGCCATCAACACCCTTTCCTTGTCTTCTGACCTGTTCAGCTCCTTCCTCCAAGGAGCAGGTCAAATCCTAATTCCCAGGAAGCCTGCTCTTGGTACAAAGCCTCTTTTGGTCTCTCCTATGACTAGCACACTATTTGTGCAACACACTTATGTGACTAAGGCATGTCTTCTTCTAGGATTCTGCCATCTCTGTAGACAAGTGAGTAGGTCTATTTGAACCAAAAACATATTGTCCCCGAACTCCTGGTAAAACACACGTCTCCAGGTTAGAGACCAAGCAGACCTCAAGGTTGGCGGACCTTGGCCTCCGGAGGATAGAAGTGAGTTTGAGTACATATTAGTGTACTCACACTGAGTACATGTTAGTATACTCTATTGGTAATCTGGTTTAACTTTACCACTAGAACTCAGGGCCAAATCTTTAGGAAGACTGGCTGTAAGTGAAGAGATGTCTTGTTAGAAACGTATAATGACAATGAGGCATAAGTGATTTTTCTTTAAGATTCCATGAATAGAGTGTGAAACAGAATATGAAGATGGACAATCAGGACAAGCTTCTTATTTAACACCCCAGCGCTGTGGCACTTTGAGGACCTGAGGCCATTTTTGGAGGAATTCTTGGGGAGACAGTGATACCTGGGGGAAGCTGTGACAGCGCCCATTACAAAAGGTCGCCAGATAAGATACAGGGTGCTCAGCCAAAAGAGAATTTCAGATAAATGACAAATAACTTATTAATACATGTCATAGAACATTTGGACACATTAATACTAAAAAATCTGTTGTTTATCTGAAATTCACATTTAACTGGGTGTCTTGATATTTGATTTGTAAATCTGGCAGTTCAACCATAAGAAACAGTAGTAGCTGATGGAGGTTTGAGTGTTCAGTAGGGCTCAGCAGTAGCTTAGCAGGGAGCTCCAGTATAATTGTTGGAAGTTGGAAGCTCCCATTTCTGAATAAAAAACTGATGCACTGAAAAGATAAAAGCTTTGGACCCTTCTGCTTTATGTCTTTGTGTCATGAGAGGATGAAAAACCAAGATACTAAGGATGCGGAAGCAAAACTTTGGAAAGAGCCCATGCCCTAAAGATATTGTTGACCTCCATCAAGAAAAGTTCAAATCTCTACTACCATCCCATCCATCAGCCTAATGCTGAATCACACAGTTACAAAGAGCTGCCTCAATCTCTAAATAAAATTTAAGTTCTACTGGGAATAAAGAAGGAGTGAATAAGGAGTTTAGGTGGCTCCATAAGCCATCTACAATGTCATTGACAATTTTAACAGAACCACACAGGTAGATAGTCCAAGTGTGGACATGATTTCATTAAAAACTCAGTGACTGACCATAGATCTTTGAGTTTTAATATATATATATATATATATGTATATATATAGATATTACATGTCTAGAAAGAAAAGGAAAACTAAATTATAACACAATAAAGGTGCTATTATTCACTTTCCCTTACTGGTTGTTTTCAACTGGCTACAATATGGTAGGATGTCAGGCATAGCACATATATTAAAAAATAGTTTACTTATTCCCTGTAAGATCCCTGCCCCTAAAAACTTCCTTACCTATAAACGGGTCACTCGATACCTTCTCTCCCACCGTCTTCTACATGTACATTCCTGCCTCAACTGCTGGGATATGTCCTTCCATTAGTCAGAGAGAATGTAAGGCCCCATATCCCAATAGTGCAAGGGCAGCCAACCTTGGCATTTATCATTCTCTGAACCCATAGTAAGCTTTACATCTACTTATCCCCAGATTTCTCACGCTGTGAAACATTTAAGGTTTTTGATGTTTCAGTCCCTGTTAGGTGTGCTATTATTCATATCCCCAAACATCCTTCACTGATAGAGAAACTATCAGGAGTTGTTCATAAACTCATGTTGGGGGTTAGCATTGTGACACAGCAAGGGGAGAAGCTTTCTCTCTCTCTGTCACTGTGCCTTTCAAATAAATAAATCTTTTTTTTTTAAACCTAACTATTGTGAGATATTCTGTATCAACTTCCAGAAATACCCATGGGGATCTTTCCAGGGAACTGGAGTCCAAAGATATCAGGTCCTGAAGAGAGCCAAACACAGGCTACACTTAGCATCTATCATAAAAAGCTAATGATATTGCACGTGACTGAACTTTGAGCTTCCATATGACCTTCAGCTCTTGAGAGCTTGTTTATGTTCCACCACTGCACTACTAAAACTTATTTATCAATTGACTACATAAAGGATGCCATTGATTCACGGGGGATATCCAATGAAGCTAATCCTGCAAGGGAGGATTTTAAGGTGGCAAGGAGTAAGAAGATGGATATAAGAACTGAGATCCTGGGGCTGGCGCCATGGAGCACTCGGTTAATCCTCCACCTGCGGCGCTGGCATTCCATGTGGGCGCCAGTTCTAGTCCTGTTTGCTCCTCTTCCATTCCAGCTCTCTGCTGTGGCCTGGGAAAGCAGTAGAAGATGGTCCAAGTGCTTGGGCCCCTGAACCCGTGTGGGAGACCAGGAAGAAGCTCCTGGCTTCAGATCAGCATAGCTCCAGCTGTTGCAGCCATTTGGGGAGTGAACCAATGGGAAAAAAAAGACCTCTCTCTCTCTGTTTCTCCCTCTCACTGTCTGTAACTCTACCTGTCAAATAAATAAATAAAATCTTAAAAAGAACTGAGATCCTGGAGCAAGTCATTAGCACAGCATGCTTGGTGTGTAGGGGCTGGATCACCTGGGAAGCATTGCTAAGGGCTTTGGTGTGGTAGAACCATATGGTCTGCTGGACCACTGCAAACTCCTGAGGCTTTAAGGAGTCCAATAGCACAAAGACAGAAATGCAGGGAAATTCATGAGTCGGCAGCCTGTAAGTCTTATGAGTGTTAAAAGAAAGATATTGCAGACAGAGATGACAGTGGGGAAGACCAACTCATAGAGGATTAGATTAAGGTGGTGCTAGGGAAGCAGGAGGGGAAGAAGCAACTCCTAGAAATGGTTCAACTGAAGAATTGACAGTGGGCAAGGGAAAAGAAATGCTAACTCTTGCTTGCCAAGCATATTACATATATTGCCCCATTTATTTCATAGGGGTTTTGCTATTATATACACCATTCATGTGGGACACAAACCTGTAAACTTATAACATGATAGAGCTCTAATAGAGGTGTGTAAGACAGTTTTAGGGTTTTTTCAGGAAAAAAGACGGAGGTTTGAAGAGGGTCTTGAAATATGACTGGAAATATAACAGATGGGAAAGTCAGGAGAAAACATTCCAGACACATGGGTGGCATGCACATAAGCACTTCTTTGTCAAACCCTTGCATGCGGTGTTTTCCAGAGCATAGAGCAGTATGAGAGTCCCTCTAAAGGCGAGACACTTGGGAAATGTGGTGTGGAGAGCACTTTTGATATTCTTAAATAGTACTATGTAGTTACCTACCAATTTGGATTCTTAGAAAAATTACTGCTGTAGACAGAAGTGAAATATATCCAGAGAATTCTTAGACGCAATGCACTATGGTGCAGTGAGGTGAGACGGTGAAAGAGGTTTGACGTTCTGCCTGTGACCCTCATCTCTCACTCCTTCCCAGGATCCTCCAGGGCCACCTGACTCCCCTCCACCCTCACCTCTGTTTCTGCCTCCCACGTTGCCCCGTCGCTGTCCATGCAAGGGGCTACATATGTTCTGAGCACAAAGAGCTAGGCAGCATTCCCTGTATCCTTTGTCTGTTCCCTCTGGAGGCTGAGGTTGACCTTGCTCTAATTCCAAGAATGATTAGAAGACATGGCCTTCTCTTCTGACAACTTCCTGAACAACACAGACAACCCTTCTCATAACTCTTGCTGTGGCCTTCTGACATTGAGTCTGGGGTCCTAGAATGACAGCAGGTGCTTACTGCCCAAAACCTTCACATGTTCAGAATGACGTTTGCTTCTTTGTTTGCCTTATTCACAGCCTTCAGACATAGCCATGATGTATCAGACAGCTCTGATATTGGGAGAGGTCATCTTCGTCTCAGAGAACAAGTATTCAAGTTCCAGGAGGGGTAGGCTCTCTGCCAATGCACTCCTTCTCATGTCCCCCTGCTTTGATCTATCGATAAGGAATCTATCAAATCTTCCTTTTCTACAACGTGTTCCAAAAGTCAACACAGATTTCATGCTTTTACTCTGATTCTAGCGCCACTTCAAACCTTTCTTACAAGCATCACAAATACTAACATTCTATATTATATCACTCCTCCTTCAAATAATTCCTAAGGCATGTGTCTAAACAGTCCAAGAGTCAGGAAGGCCAGGACCCTATACATCTGCCTTTTGGTTGGGGTTGAGCCTCCATTCAGCCACTGTGTGCTCTGGAACAGGACACCACTTTTCTGAGCTTCTGTTCCCCTATTTGCTAATGGATATGTCAAATTCCATACCCCTGTGACATACAGCATTTCTGTGGGCACTGGGTAAGGTTACATATATTACACTGGCATGGGACACATGCAAAATGCATATGATTGATGGACATTAACATTGGGCAGCACATTGACAGTGCTGGAATCTGGCCTGTAGACCAAAGGATCCTGACAGTAGTGAGAGGATCTGATGGGGGAGAAGATGGATTTTGAGGAGTGTCTGGGGTTCTAGTTCAAGAAGAATACTAGTTCACGAAATGAGGGAGGGTGATAGGAGAGACGAAGCCAAACAAGCCTGATGTTGTGTATTGGACCACACAGGGGTGGGAGGAAACATAAAGACCCTAAAACTATGGCTCCTAGGGCTTACTCCTGGATCACTGCATGCTGCCAGGCTGTGACAAGACCTTATTATATGCCAATCTCATCATCTCTTTATCTTTAGGAATAGGACCCCAATTTTGTTTTAGAAATTATTTAATTGATTAATAACACTATGAGTCCCAGATGCACTTAATAAGATCCTATGCAGACACTGGTGAGAGGCCATACAGAAAAATTTATTACAAGGTTGATTCAGTTGGCATAGGCCTCATTCTTCATATTTGCTCAATTATTCTGCCAGGAATTTATACAGGATGTTGAAAGGGAAACAAGTATCTAGGAACATAAAGCCAAAAGTCACAAGCTAAGCTTGAAGGGGCTGAAAAATCTCAAAGAAGGCAAAGGCCCTGGTGGCATGAGGGAGCCACAGGGCCAGCCCTGAATGCTAATGCAGCTTCTTGTCATGTAAGGAAGGTAATTCTTCTCTGGTTGCTCTCTCACGGTTGGGTTTCTGCTTTATGCACATAAATCTAATCCAAACAGGCACACATAACCACCGTGCAAGATTGGTGTGAGAAGTCGCTGCATTTGGAGACTCTGTGGGTTGAGGAGAACCCAGGAGACATAGCTGAGTACCTGAAATCCTGCTTGGAGGACCTTGTCCTATCTTAAGCCTTTGTAGATGGTAGAGATTAAGTTCCTGTGTGCTTCCTGTCTCAAGCCCGTTTAACTCAAGACTTAGCGGGGGTGAGGGTAATCTTGGGACCACAATGGGGATGTGGCAGTAAATCCAGCCAAAGGGAAGCAGTTTAGGGAAAAGGCAGGATAAGCAAGGTTGAAGATGACATGGTAGCTTTCTGAATTCCACCTGCACTTCCAGAAAAATGTCTCTGCTTATGTCCTGCCAATGGTGAATCACTCATGCTTCTTTTACATTCTAAGCACACACTTCCCTCATTCATTCATTCATTCATTCATCCATCAGAATTCCTGGATGTCTGCAGGTGCTAGAGAAACAAAGATGTATAAAATATGGTCACTGGGATCAAATACCTACCTGGCTCTCATATTTTTGGGGAAAATGGTGGCTGAAAAATGAAGGATATAATTGGGTTAAATAGGAGGAAGAGAAAACACTTTGAACAGTGAAATTGCTGTTATTTTGCATCCTATGACTAATGCTGCAAAAATAATATATATCACATTTTGGGAGATGAGGGAGATATTTCCAACCTAGACTGTAGTGGAAAATTACTGGAATGCTCAGAAATAAGCTTACATAATTATGGGCTAAGGTCAGACAAATTATAGAGAGTTCTTAATTTCTAGCATTTCCTTGGGCTGTGAGCTAACTACCATTTGACCCAGGTAAAACATACTGCCTTTTTAAATGGAAAAATACCCAGATGGTGGAAATTTTATATTATTGACCAATAGGGAGCTGTTGAGCTGTTAGTGATACCAGTTGCACTGCACTCTGGCCATCTGACTAGGATGGCTGCTCCTGCCCCAGACGACTGTTCCTGATGGGACACATTAGAGGATGCAGTATAGCCTGTGCTTTGGAGCTCAGGTTGTGGAGTAAGAACACTTGATTTTGAATCCTAACTCTGCTGTTTACCAGTTTATGAGAAATCAGGTAACGACTTGGCATCACTGAGTCTCAGGTTTATCAAGAGTTAATACAATAATTTCTACCATATAGGGTTATTAGGAAAATTAAGCATAATATACTACCCAAAGGATGTTCAGAGCTTGGCACATAGCTAGAGATCAAAATATGTTACCTGTGGTGAAAATGAGGGGAGGAAGCAAAAAGATGGACTGACAAATCCTTTCTCAGAGGGATAATCAGCGCCATGAGCCCATTTACCCCAAATAGACCTTTGTAGGCTTTCTCTGTCCAGACCCAGCCACACCCTCAACAGACCCGAGAGCCAGCCCAACCTCTATACCCCTTCAATCTGACACAGTCACCTGAAAGCCACCTGAAAATGTAGCTCTCCAATTATGGAATCCAAGAGCTGCCTTTTTGTGGTGCTGAATGCTCATTGCTCGTATGTGCGGAGAGTTCTGTAGGATCTGTAGAATCAGCAGGACCTATGTCCCAACAGAGAACTCGAGTTTGTGAGACTGAAGGTTCTCATGAAAGGCCTCCCTACCTAAAGGCATGGCTTTCTTCATCTCTTCAATAGAGGAGATAATACAGACCACACACAACAATTGTGGGAATTCAACTAAATTCACCTAGCATGACAGACTGGAAGTAGGAACTCTGTAAATACTGCTTCATTTTTTCCGTGATCCTGCCCTGGCGTCATGCTGCCCTGAATCACTGTCAAAGTGCTGACTGCACATGGCAGGAGAACCACAGGAATCCACTCTTCATCATTTTCTCTTAGTGTGCAATTGTTTTATCAGGTCACAGGTCATCATTTCCTAGCACAGCTCTTTGCAACCCTGGTTACAAAATCATTGGAATGGGCAAAATGTCCAGTGTCCAGCATAAATATCTCCCCTGCAAGACAATCTGATTCAATTTATAACTTCGTGAAGGAATGAACTCCTTTCTAGGTTTCAGTTTGTTCCGCTGAAACAATAGAGACAAAGTAGAGAAACTTGCCAGGTATTGCGCATCAAGAGATGGCCCCACAACTGCTGAAGCCCAGACAACGACATACACCCCAAAGGATACTGTGTTTAGTTAAAAAGAATGTTTTGTTCATCATATATTTTGGCATTAATTTTGAGTTTTAGGATATTGCATAAAGTATTATTTATCTTGATTACTGAGTTTTTAGAATTCCCTTAAATTTTGCCATAAATTTGGCCATAGCCAAATTGTGAAGGAAGATTTAGAGAAAATATCAGTATTTGCTGGTCTAGGAATTGCAACTGAAATGGACCAGACATTCTATCCTTTTTTTGAAAGGTTTTCCTAAATCTTATCTTAGGTTCTGCATGGTGTTTCTAGGAGTGTTGATGGCCTGGTGATGGCACCAGGCTGAGGATGGTTGTTGGTCTCTGACAGAGTTGGCCACGGGCCTGGTGAAGTTCTGAGGCTTCTCTGT